CCCCAAAACCCCAAAACCCCAAAACCCCATTCGAAAAAGTAAATTGTTAAATATGATAAATTTATTAAGAGCAAAATCATAATCAATAATTAATCAGACTGATTTAATTCCAGTAATAATTACTCAATGATTGATTGATTATAATGCATAATCTTCGATAGAAATATCATTATCAGATTAATTCCTCTAATTTCCAGCAGAAAAAATATTTTAATTAGTATCAAGTGTTGCTTAATTTATGAAATTTCTTTAGGTCTTCTTCCTTTCTTACTCAATATCCACTCTTTCTTAAATTATATCTAAATTACCCCTTGCAATCTTTACTTTCTTTAATTATTTTAAGATGCTCATTTGAGCAATATTTTTTCCTTATTTATTTTGATCCTCACTAGGAAATCTAGTTATTTCTAAATTCTTAAAAATTCTTTTATCAATAGCCTGTTGATCTTGCTATAATATCACTTCAGAAAGGTAGATTTTATGTTTTCTTTTCCTATTTTTGCTCATTTCGGACCAACTTACAAATTTTAAAATATCTTTTTCTTTTTATGACTAGCTCAAAATGCTTACATTATTCTCCGCCTTATCCTCATTTCTAAGTTCAATTAAATTTTCTCTGAAATATGGAATAAGTTTTCTTTAGTATTTGGCTAGTGCAACTCGTGAAAGAAAGCCAAGTACCTGCTGGTTTCTAAGCAAATGAATTACTTCAAATTTATCATTAAGTTTTTTCCTCGCTATTCGGAATAACTTTTGCTTGTATTTAAAATATTCATTATCCACTTTGTTAAAACGACAACAGAATGAGCTTTTTATTTTCTTTAGATATTCAGAAAATCTTGAGTAAATAAATGGAACTCAGCATTTGATATTGATTAATATTTATCTAAGTCTTCCTTAATTTCTATCAGTATGTAATTAACTTAACTAACTTTAAAATTATTCTTCCGAGGTTACAGATTTAAGATTTAAATTTTGATCTTGAACTTATGATTACTTTGGCTCATTTATCGAACCAGACTTGTCCTATTATATCTAAAAAAGATCTTTGACTAATGACTGTTCATACAGATCTTTTTAGATTTAGTTGACCATTATTTTTATAATGATTGTTACAATTCCAATTAAACCTCCTGTGCTTGAAAGAGCATCTGACACTGTATATATTTCTAAGTTCGTAGTTATTATAGTATCATCAAGTTGAATGTAAAATGCCAGCAAAGTTTATGAGAATTTATCATCGTATGCATTTATTTACATCACATCATTTCTAACTGTATAGTAAGTGATATTTTCCTGGCCAAATTAATTGGAAAATGAGGAAGTACTTTAAATAAGAAAATTCTATCCGAACTTTAATTAATAAGCTTGATTTAGTCCTTCTTTTGAAGTAGCATAGAAGTTTTTCAGTATTGTTTTCACTGGATTTTTATATTTTTCATTGACATCAATAAACTGATTGGTGATTACAATGTTAATTTCTATCAAATCGAATGCTTTCTTTATCTCTTCTTCACTAGCGCATTTTACAGAGGGATTTTTAAGGTTATTACATTTTTTTACTTCAATTGTTAAGTATTGAGATTTTCTGGTTGAAAATTATCCTTGAAAAGTTGTTTTTAAATTTTGAGGACAATAATATGTATCAGGTATTCCTAGGCTCTAAGTTTGAACAGTTTCTCCCAGAAATCTGCCCTTATCACACTTACCGAGAGTATATGGTTTGTCAGTAGAAACATAATCCTAACTATTATTAACCCATTCAAAGCTTGTTTAAGAAATTTGAACATCAATAAATCTTTGAAAATTCTATTCAACTGTTTTATTAACTGATAAGATGTTTAAACCAATATCAAATATTTCCTCGTTTGCATCTATGTGCCTGGTATCAAGAGCAAGATTTCTTGTAAAATATGAACTCGTGATTGTACTTTTTTTCTAAATTACTTTAATAACCTCTGTTATCAAGAATATAAGGATACCAACCCTAAAAATCAGAGTGACTATTCCACCAAATAAAGATTAAAAATTCGAGCTATTTTTGTATGTAAAAGATATCTGCTATCCAAATTAATCTTATGATGTAATGAAGTTCTCTAATTTCCTGTTAAATTTCTTCATTTCCTGTATTAATCAGATTTTTATCTATTAAAATTATTTTAAAATTTAACAAAATATTTTATAGCCTTAGTTTATGGATATCAATACTAACGGGGGTTTTGGGGTTTTGGGG